GGTGTGTCTCTCCCTGCTCCTGGCGGCAGATGTTCAGGGCGTCCTGGTAGTCTTGTCCTGCCTGCTTCAGGTGCAGAGTTGATGCTCGGTATCGAGCCCTCGAGTCCAAACACAGACCAAGCAGGAGGCGGGTCTCCTTCCTCAGAGCCTCCTGCTCCTCTGAGGACAGTAAACAAACAAACAAGTCTAGGAACAGTTTCTAAACCGTCTAAGTGTGTCTCACCTGTCCTCTCACCTGTCTGCTCGTCTTCCTGCAGCTCCTTGTGTTTCTCCAGTTTGGCCTCCAGAGACTCTGTACAGAACCTGAAACCATGTTCTGCAAGCTCCACCCTCAAACAAACAACCAACCAGAAATCAGTGACCTCAGAGCTCCCGTCAACGTACCTGCTCAGTCTGCGTCTTACCTGTTCTGCTCGGCATAGATGGTGGCGAGTTTCAGAGACATCTCGACGACGGCGTTGTCATCCTGGAAACAGACAGCAGGTCAGGTGTGTGTTTACCTGTGACAGGTGGAATGAACGGGTGACGCTCACCTCTGGAGTCCCGCCTGCCAGCATGAAGCTCATCGCTGCTTTGAAGAGTTTCTCTGCCTGGAAGAAGATCAGAAACATGATGTCACAGCAGAGAGCAGCCAATCCCAGACGGACGCTGTGTTCCACGAAGCTATCACGGTGCTGGTTTCATGTTCCAGCTCAGAGCTCCTGTTCTACACGGTTCCACTAACAGAACGAAGAGAAGTCGTACTTCCACTAATCTGTTCCGTCCAATGACACAATTTAGAACCGCAGACAAAGAACAGGAACCAACAAAGAACCCAAAGAACAAAACTTCTCTGAATATCACAAATACACTGCTCAAAAAAGTAAAGGGAACACCTCAGCAACACGGGACTCCAGGTCAGCCACACTTGTGTGAGACCAACCTGTCCAGGTAGGAAGCAGCACTGATGGTGAATCACTTCCACCTGCTGCTGTGCAGATGGAGCAGACAGCAGGTGGAGATGAGAGGCAGGTAGCAGGACCAGCCTATAAAGGAGAGCTTCTGCAGGTGGTGACCACAGACCAGGTCTCTGTTCTCGTCCTTTCTGGCTGATGTTCTGGTCACGTCTGCATCTCGTCAGTGCTCTCAGCCCTGGAGGCAGCATGAGGCGTGTCAACAACCCAGCAGCAGGACGCTAGCTCCTCCTCTGTGCAGGAGGACCAGGAGGAGCTCTGCCAGAGCTGCAGGATGACCTCCAGCAGGCCACTGATATGCATGTTTCTGCTCAGACTGTCAGAACCAGACTCTATGAGGTGGTCTGAGGGCCCCACGTCCACCGGTGGGGCTTGTGCTGACAGCCCAGCACCGTGCAGGGCGACTGGCATCTGCCAGAGAACACCAAGGTCGGCAGGTTGACCATCAGCACCCTGAGCTCTTCATGGATGAGAGCAGCTTCACACTGAGCACATGTGACAGACGTGACAGAGTCTGGAGACGCCGTGGAGAACGTTCTGCTGCCTGCAGCATCCTCCAGCAGGACCGACTTGGTGGGTCAGTCATGGTGTGGGGAGGCATTTCTCTGGAGGACCCACAGCCCTCCATGGGCTAGCCAGAGGTACCCTGACTACCATCAGGTACCGGGATGAGATCCTCAGACCCACTGTGAGACCACATGCTGGAGCAGTGGGCCCTGGGTTCCTCCTGATGCATGACAATGCTCGGCCTCATGTGGCTGAAGTGTGTCAGCAGCTCCTGATGATGAAGGCATTGATGCTATGGACCGGCCGGCCCGTTCCCCAGACCTGAATCCAGCTGAGCACATCTGGGACATCGTGTCTCGTTGCACCACAGACTGTCCAGGAGTGGATGATGCTTTAATCCAGGTGTGGGAGGAGAACCCTCAGGAGAACATCCTGCCTCATCAGGAGCAGGCCCAGGCGCTGTAGGGAGGTCCTACAGGCAGGTGGAGGTCCTACAGGCAGGTGGAGGCCACACACTGCTGAGCCTCATTCTGACGGGTCTGGAGGAGTTTCCACTGAAGCTGGATCAGCCTGTCATGTGATTTCACACTTTTATTTTGAGTATGAGTCCACATCCAGACCTCCATGGAACAATTCAGATGTACGTTGATCATGTTTATGTTGTTTTGTTCTCAACACATTCCACCATGTGAGGAATGAAGATTCTCAGCTGGAATGTTTCACTCACTGAGATCCAGGACGTGTTGTTTTATGATTCCCTTTATGTTCTTGAGCAGTGTATTACTGTAGGACGAAGTTAAAACTAACGTCTCAAACAACAAATCCAAGGATTTCCTGTGAGCGACACTGACACACAACACTGTATGTATAAACACATATGATCGGCCTGCAGGTGAGGATTCTGAGCTGTGATTGGTCGATACTCACGCTGTCCAGCTGACCCTGAACGTAGGCCAAGTTTGCCATCTGAGGACAGAAAACACTTCATTGTCACTGACGCAGTCTTCTGTTGACAAACTGCTGAAGGAGTAATGAGAGAGGTTCTGGTGGGGGTTACCAGGCTGTAGGTGTAGATGATGGCCTGGTTGTTGTGGTTCTGATGGGCTAGAACCACGGCTTGATGGAGGAACCCCGAGGCGGCCTGCAGCTGATCTCGATAGATGCTGAGCTGAAACACAGCAGTAACACAGTAGTGCAGCGGAACAGGAGCAAAACGCTCCAGTCCTGTGATCACAGAAGAGTTTAAAACGAAACACCTGAAAGAATATCGACACGTTTTCAGAAAAATAAAAACCCATAAAGTCACTGAAATATATCCAGGTTGAAAAATAAACAACTATCTGCCTGAACTAAACAGAGAAAGTACACGTTTAAAAAATACAAATACATCCAGAACGATGAACAGCTTTATCAGGAACAATAAATGAAACTCAAAGAAATGACACCATTAAACAAAAGATGACAAATGAGAAACAGCTGAAGTGAGACATTTCCACATTAAAGCTGCTTTCATCTGGAACTGCTTCAAAACCTTCTGGTGTCGCCGGAGACGAAGGAGAAAACAGAAACACTGCTGAAAGGTACAAGTACCTCTGACCTGTACCTAAATACTACACTTGAGTAAATGTACTTAGTTACTTTTCACTACTGTAAGTTTTTCATGTGAGACGGTTCACTGCTGCTGCTCCGTCTTCATCACATAAACCAACTCCTGGTTCTGGTTCTGGTACCTTGGCCTTCTTCAGCAGCAGGATCATCTCGTCCTCCTTCCTCTCAGCTTCATCTCGTTGATCTTCTTCAGAGCTGCTGAACAGCGAAAAGGCTGCAACACACGGACAGCTTGGCGTAAAGGCTGAGCAGGTAAAAGGCCGACAGCGCCACACCGAGCCAAACCCACACACTTCTGACGGGACTTTGGTGGGTTTGGGGACACTGAAGCATGACCTGAACGTACCGAGTGCTGCCCACAGCGCTGCTCCTCCACGCTGTGGGTTCTGGAAGGTTCTCCTGGTGGATTCATGGCCGCTCACGGTTACCCAGCATGCTGAGCGCTTTCCCGCCACAGACTCTGAGTTCACAGACACACTGTGATGCCTGACAGGCTTCATGACCAAACTAAAGCAGAGACACCAGAGAGACGGAAAGACTCAGACAATAAAACAGACATTTCTGATGAAAACATCGAGCAGCAGCGAGTTTGATGTGAACGTTGAACATGGACGGAGTCAAAACTACAGAATTTGGTGTATTTAAACTAAAACATCTAAAATGTTCAAAACTCTGAAGTATGTGGAAAACAATGAGTTTGGTTTAAGATGTAGAACCTGCAGAATTCTATTGTCATGGACGAAGAAGTCCATAATTCTGAAAAATATAAGTGGAGTTTCTAAAACTGTCAAAATGAGGCTGGATTTTGGATGAAGGACGTGAAGGTGTAAAAGCTGCAGATCAGTGAAGGAGCAGAGGTCTCACCTGTCTGCAGCGGAGATCCATCTCAGGTGACCCGAACACCTGAAGCAGCTCACCGTTTGACCGAGCAGTGCACGGAGCCCGCAGCGGGCCGCCATCTTTACTGTTTACATAATAATCGGAAGTCACTACGTACAACCCTCGCCTTCAGAATAAAAGCAGTGAAGGAAATAAATCCGTCCATCATCTCTACACCTTCATCCTCACCAGTGTGATGGGGGCTGGAGTCTATCCCAGCTGACTCAGGGTGAAGGCAGGTTCACCTGGACAGGTAACCAGTCTATCACAGGACTACACTTAGAGACAGACAACCAAGCACACTCACATTCACACCTACGGACAATTTAGAAGGAAATGAATAATTTTTAAAAAAAAAAAACTTCAGTGGTTTGTTCCTTCATTTTCTTTTATGTATTTAAACTTTGTGCAAATATATTGAAATAATTTCTTGATAAGGATTTAGTTTTTAAAACCTCACGATGTATTTAAGGAAGTGAATAAATTCTAAACAATCTTCAGGTTTCATTTTCCTTCAGCTGCTGTTTGATGTCATTTTGGTTTTTGTTTCTCACAATTTGGACCTTTTATAATCTGTAACTTGGTTTTTATCTCAGGTTTGATTTTTACTAATAGCTGAATATATTTCACACTTTAGATGTTTTTGACTCATATTTATTTTTATCCAAGTTTTGTTCTTTTTGTTTTATCTGAAAGCTTTTTCTTTCATCATCTTTCACTTGCACATACATTTTGTTTTCTAAAGTTGTACTTTTTTATTCCTTCTTTTCAACCTGTGACTCAGTTTTTATCTCAGATGTTTTTCTTTAATATAAATTTTGCATTTTAGCCCATATTTTAGTTTTTGAACCTCTTAAATTTACACACAGAAAAAACCCAAATGCTCACTTTTAAGACTCTGTTGAACAAAATCCTGTTTTTATTTGGTAACTGTAATATCTGATCACTTCATGTAGTCAGGTCACGTCTAGATGTTATGAGTCTTATTTTACTCTTTCCATCTCAGGATTTACACCATTTTTAAAACCTTTAACCTTTTTTTAAATCTCAGTTGAATGTTTTGTTACTTAACATTTCTGACTTATCTTAATTAATCAGATGATCAGCAGCTGTTTCCTGCAGTATCCCACAATCAAGACATCCTGCTTCTCCAGAGGGTTCAACGTCTTCATACGACCAGAAGAACTAAAGTCAGAGTCGGACGTTGTGGTGTTTCTGCTGTTTGGCAAACTGAATGTGTTTCTGGTGAGCGAGTTTGTTGGAACATGAAAGAGGACGAGACGCCGGTTCTCACATCAGATCTGGAATGAATCCAGTGAAGCGGAAAGAACAGGAAGCTGCAGAGCATGATTTGGCTTTTATTGTGAAACAGCACATGATGAATGAGAGCAGCTTGACTGGACCAGCTCCAGCCGAACCCAGGAGCCGCGATTGGTCCGCTGTCTGGTCATGTGACTTCATTACAGCGATCACCTTGTTGTTTGTAGTGTTTCCTTTCAGCTAAACTCTTTTTCATTTGGATCAATTTGTTCTTCAGAAATAAAAAATAAAGACAGTTTTCTGCATCAGATGAGATTCAAAACAGAATCCAAAGAACAGACTTTCTGTCCCAAAAAGCTGCTGCACTTCGGCTTTAAACCAGAGCTGCAGCAAATAATCGATTCATCAAAAAACTATTCAATTAATCACCAATCATTTTAATAACCAATTGGAATTTTTTCATACAAACATTTGAAATTCTGTGATTGAAGCCTCTTAAATATATATTTTCTGGTTTCTTTCCTCCTCTCACAGCAAACTGAAGATCTTAGGACAAAACAAGACATTTGAGGAAACTCAGATTTTGTTTTCACAGTTTTTCTGTTTTTTTATTTCAGAGACAAACAGCTGATCCACTCATCCAGAAGACCGAATGAGTCTCAGCTGGAGGAGCTGAACACAGACTGTCTATGAGGTGAAGAGGCGTCGCTCTGTGTGTGTTCCTCCCTCCAGCAGATCACGTTACAGTCAGATCAGATCAATAACCGATCAGATCGATTGAAGCTTCATTATATGAATCACTGTGAAAAAAACAAGTGTTAGATACTCAGCAGCTGACTCAGGATCAGTGAATTAAACATTAAACACACCAACGGTTAGTGTTTCTGATTCACTCGCTCTATTCTTTGGGAGTGAAACTTCGTCAAAGCAGCTGCCGTTCATCACCGATGACGCTGGAGGAAACCAAACTCTGACGGATTCTCTGGCAGCTTCTGAACTGTGCTGTTCTGCACCAGCTTCTGTCCACATGTAGTGAAGGAAATTCATCCAATATGTGTAAACCTGTGAGTTTCTGCTGCTGCTGTGTGACTGTCAGCTCACCAGTAGGTGGAGCTGCTCGTCCAGGCAGCCCATTAAACTGCAGAAGAAGAAGTCTAAAGAAGCTCCAGTCAAAGCTCAGACTGCATAAAGAAAGGTCAGTGTTTTCACCTGCTGCCTGCGATCACTAACTTCCTGCTGCACCTGTATACATCTGTCTATGGCCACGCCCCCTTCAGGAGGCCGGTCACTCAGCAGGCCGGTGGTCAGTGAAGCGTTTCAGGTGGTAGCGCAGCACGCCTTTGGTCTTGAAGGTCTTGCCGCAGCTGCATGCATGCGGCCGCTCGCCGGTGTGGTCAAGCTGGTGGATGCGCAGCAGCGAGCTGGTGAAGAAGAACTCCCCGCAGGTGATGCAGTAGTGGCTCTTCTCGCCGGTGTGTTTGGCCCTCTGGTGGCTCAGCAGCGAGCCCGACGTGATGAAGCTCTGGCCACAGTCCTGACAGCTGAACGGACGCTCGCCGGTGTGGATCCTTTCATGCGCTCGCCACGAGTTGTGGTAGGAGAAGGACTTCTGGCAGTACGAGCACTGGTACAGCTTCTCCTTGGTGTGGCTCAGCCGGTGCATCTTCAGGTAGTGTGCGATGGTGAAGCTCTTGCCGCAGTCGCCGCAGGTGAACGGCTTCTCCCCCACGTGGAACAGTGTGATGTGGGACCTCAGGTGGGACGACTGCGTGAACCTCTTGCCGCAGGTGGTGCAGAGGAACGGCCGCTCGCCGGTGTGGGTCACCATGTGCGACTTGAGGTGGGGCGACTGTGTGAACCTCTTGCCGCACTCGGGGCACTTGTAGGGCTTGAGGCCGGTGTGGGTTCGGTTATGCAGCTTCAGGCCCTGCAGGCTGGAGAAGCACTTGCCACACTCGGCACAGTGGTAGTCGCGCAGGTCGTCGTGGGTGCGCTGGTGGCAGCGCAGGCCGCTCAGCAGCTTGAAGCCTTTGCCACAGGTGGGACATTTGTGCGGCTTCTTGCTGGAGTGCGTCACCTGGTGTAGCTTTAAGCTCTGCGGGTTGGTGAATGTCTTGTCGCACTTGTTGCACGGCAGCAACTTCTGGCTCTTGTGCGACTTGCGGTGAAAGTTGAAGCCCTGGTAGGACACAAACATCTTGTCGCAGACCGAGCAGCGGTAGCACTTTTCCCCGTCATGTTGCTGCAGGTGCTCGGTGAGCTCGTCCTGCTCGCTGAACCCGTCACCACAGAACCAGCACTTGAAGGGTTTGGTCCCAGAGTGTGTGCGGTGGTGGGTCTTCCAGTCCCTCTTCAGGGCGAAGGTCTTGTCGCAGTACGAACAGCGGTACGGCTCCTTGCGGTCGTGGATCTGCTGGTGGACCACGAGGCTCATCAGAGTCGGATAGGTCTTTCCGCACTGCCAGCACTCGTTGGGCTTCTGGCCTTGGTGGACCCGCAGGTGAGCCTCCAGGTGAGACTGCTTGTAGAAACCCTTCTTACACTCGAGGCAGTACGCCATCTTCCTGCCGGTGTTGGTGGAAGGTTGCTGCCGTGGCGTCAAGTCACAGAGCTGAGGGTGTTCATCTGCAGGGAAGCAGACATGAAGGTTAGCAGTGACACAGCTGACCGCGTCAACAACTGTTAAGTCGGGACGTTCTGATCTGATGTCAAAGATCAGGATCTGGGCTGATCACTGGGTTTGTAAAGCACTGGTACCGAACCTTATCCGAACTTTGTTTACATGTGCTGTCACACAGGTGTTGAATAATAATATTTCAGAAAGCTGTTAACTTCTGATGGTGGAACATCTTTCTACATCTAGTGGATGTAGAAATCCATCAGCTCCTGCTCTACGGCAGGAGCTGTGCAAAACTACATAGATTCCTATATAGTTCCCCACACGTTCCCTGCACCGTTCCCCGCACCTTCGCACACTACGTCATTGTTCTCTACATTGTTCCCTTGGCAAGGAGCAGGGAGGAGGGTATGAGTGGAGGATTTCTGACAAGTTTCAGATTCTTACCCAGAGACAGGAAGTCCCGCCCCTCCAGCCATGCCCTGCAGTCAGTTAGAGTGACGGACAGCTTCCGGAGGATAGGGAACGACTGGATCTCCAGGTCACCGTCTGGCTCCGCCTTCACCTGAACGTCCTGAAACCACAAGATTCATTCATCAGACGCTAAAGTTGGACCACATCTGCCCCGAAACCACTTTAACACCTTAAAACAAGGGTCTCAGATTGTGTCATTTAAGCTGCCGTCTGCATATGCAATTAAAATTAAAAAAACAATTCTGCAAAAAAGAAAAAAAAGCATTTCCGTCGGGGCAAAGGTAATGTCAAAGGCCTGTCAGTTCTTGATGAGGAGCGATCTGGATTTGGGGCTGCTAACAACAAAGAGCTAGCAAAAAGAAAAGTGGATGATAAACACCGACAACTTCAAGAAAGATGGACATCACGGTATTTTTTCGTAAAGTGGAAATGCTACCTGCTTGACTTGCAAACAAAAGTCGCTGTTCTGAAGGAATATAATGTCAAGCACCACAACTGGACCGAGCATGGAGAACAATATGAGAAGTACCAGGAAGATGAGTGGAAACAACGAGCTACGCAGCTACAGAGAGGGCTAACATCTCAGCAAAGTCTTGTTCATGAAGCCAAGAAGGACGCTGATGCTGCACCTGCAGCTGGTCCTGTGCTGAGGGATCAGTCACCAAAGCTGGAAGGCCATTCAGCCCAGGGCAGTTTGGGAAGGGCTGCATGATGTCCTATGTCCAGAACAAAACAACATCTCTCTGTCGGCAAACACCGTGGCGGAGCGGATTAGCGAGTTATCAAGTGACGTTTATGAACAGTTATGCATCACAGCTAGCGCTTTCATGGCATACTCTGTAGCTCCTGATGAGAGCACGGATAAAGCCCACGATGCTCAGGTGACAGAAGAGTTGCTCAGTGTGTGTCCAATGCACGGGCACACAACAGCCGAGGACGTAATCCAGCAGCTGCGTGACGCCATTGAACGCGTGGGTTGCCGTGGAACAGACTGGTCGGCTCCAGGACTGACGGAGGCCCGTCCGTGACTGGTACAGAGAAAGCCAGAGGAGGACGCAGATCCAGCTGAAGCTTTGCACTGCATCGTTCATCAACAGGCACCGTGCAGCCATGAACACGTCACGTCTGTTGTCCTGAGATGGATTAATTCATCAGGTCCAGGAGTTTACAGCACCGCCAGGTCCGGACCTCTTCAGAAGAAACAGAGTGGGCATATGGTGACGTGCTTCACTGAGGTGAAGAGGTCCATGGAGGATGGCAGAATGGCAGTCAGGGCCGTGGAGCAGCCTTCACTACAACCTCCATCATCTCAGCACATGCAGATCTGTTGTGGAGGAAGCTGCAGCGTTCACGCCTGTGTTCTGAAAAACCTGCTGCAGGAACCGGAGCTGCGTTCTGCCGACTTCACCGTCCAGCTGCTTGCAGCCCTTCCCGCTGATGTGGGAGTGTCCCGGGGAGCTGAGGCTCCGGGAGAACATAATGAGAAGAATAATAATAAACTGCATTTACAGAAGAGAAGCGGACCAGACTGGACCTATTCTGAGAGAACCAGCTCCATCCTTCCCAGAGCTCTCCAGTGTTCAGTCGGGTCGTGTTCTCTTCTATGAACTCCAGCAAGTACAGGTCCAGGCTGATGCCCCTCTTGCAGCTGCAGCAGGACTTCACCTGTGGCCTCCATCAGGCCACGTGCAGCTCACCTGAGCCGGCCAGGTGTAGCAGGAGGTGTTCACCATAAAGCACATGGAGGGGATTATTCTGCTGTTCAGAAACCGCAGCAACTGTGCAGAAGCTGCTGCTGGTGTTCTTCGGCCCAGTACGACCACATGCTGTCCGGAACCGGGACAGCTTGTGGTCCAGTACGACCACATGCTGTCCGGAACCGGGACAGCAGGTTTCAGAAAAGCTGCACTTTGTTGTTGTTGTTGATGCTCAAGTGTGAGACCTCTGCCTTAGAAGGTCCAAGAAGAGGACGGTTCTAATAACCTCCACCGAACACAGAACCCAGTAGCTACATCCGGCAGATTCGACCGGAACTCTGCAGCCCTGTTGGACCGGGTTTCACTCATACCGGCCCACAGGAACCGAGCCTTTACCGGACTACTCCAGGAGCAGAGGTCGGCCTGGATGAAGCCGAGTGACCCAGCGGCCAGAGCTACCGGAACCTGCGGTGTTGGTTCGGGTGGAGGAGGGTTTCCCTCACATCCAGAGCTAGCTCGGTTAGCTGCGGCCCGCTAGCCGCCCCGTCGCCGGGAGGAGGCGGCCCGGCGGCCCCGCGTGTCGGTGCGCTTACCGGTGAGGCCGCGGGGGGGTCCATTGCTCCAGCTCCGCCGCTGGTTCGGTTCGTTACGGCGAAGTTTATCGACGGAGTCCGAACCGCTAACTGAGTGGCGCATGCGCAGCCGATGATTTCCGGGGAAAAGTTCAACCAGAAAAACAAACAAAATAAAGAAGAAGGAGGAGGAGCTGGATCACGTGGTGCAGACGGAACTTTGAGCTCACTTGGACCGGATAACTTTCTCCTCTGGAACCGGAAACTGCTTTAAAGTCAGTTGCTGTTGGTGACGTCATCGTTTGATCTCTAATCGGTATCGATCATCATTCAGCTCATTCATAATTGAATGTATTGTGTATAATTAGTCATTTACAGACAGGAAGTCCAAATGCTCACATGTAAGTCCTGTGGAACCAGAACTTTTTGACCTTGTTTCCTCTCATACCTGCACTTAGACGGACTTCTTCCACTATTACTGTCTTCATCAGAAGTGTGTCTTTCTCGTCTCTTCTCTAAGTTTTGTCTGTTTTCTGTCTGAACTTTACTCAAAGTTTTATGTTTCACTGAAAACCCAGATTCTGTTCTGAAGTTGCCTTTTTCTGGACAATAAAGTTCATTTTAAATTCCACACAAACCTGCAGAAGAAACAGTCGGTACCGGTTCTTTATTAAATACATGAACCCGTGAACAGCACTGAACATAGAAAACACACATCTAGGAACTGAATTTAACGCTCTGAGCTTCCAGCAGCAGCTCCTCTCTCATGGTCCTTCACTCAGGTTCATGTTCCTCTGCAGCATAAAGTCCTGCAGCTCTGTGGAACCAGAACCACATGAAGGAGGAGGAGAGAGACGTCTTCTATCAGCAGGACTCTGAACCATGGAGACCAGAAAAAAAAAAGTTAACTTGAGTTTATTTATTTTCCAAAAATGCTAAAATCCCAGAACCATCACGTCCAACGTGTCTCCAGATGTTAACCCTGGAGCTCAGGTCGTCTCCTCGTCATGCAGATGTTGGACTATCTCCACGTTCCAGCCTCTCCAGACTTGTTCTCTCTGCTCATCAACACTGATTAAATCTGATTTTCAGCTCAGACTCGGTTCATCTTCCTGATGGAGCCACACATGAGATGTTCATGGGCAGTTGGAAAACTGAAAGTCTCTGCTAAATGGACTAATTTCATACATTTAAACACGTCTTTTTAAACCTACAGCAGGTTTTGGGCTTCAAAGGATTTAGCAGTTCATTCATTCATTCATTCATTTCTTTGACTTTTTTTCCTCCCACAAAATCTGTCTGAAAGCCAAAACAAAGAAAATCTACTGAAGAAAAGATGAATTCAGAGAAATGATCAGTGGGCTGTTCATCAGAGAACAAAGCGACTCGGCTCAGGTGATGGTGAACCTGCAGACTTCAGAGAAGAACAAGCTGTTTACCTGCAGACAAACAAACAAACAAACAGGATTATTTATTCTTCCTGCTGACATTTAGACCTCCTTCAGTTTACGACAGTCAGCTGCTCTGGGATCAGCTAACGCTCCGGTCGGTGTTTGTCACAGCGCTGCGCTCTCAGAACAAACTGCCTGGCGGTGGCGCTACAATTCGGCCTTTTGTTTACATCATCTCCCAGCAGGCACTGCAGCATGTGACCCCTCCCACTCTGAGACATCACACACGATTCACTTTTAGTCAGACACTCACCGCCATGACATCACAGCTTCATCACAGAGCCAATCAGAGAGCAGAGTGGAGACGCTGTCCAATCAGAGAGCAGCAGTCAGCAGGTGGAGA